GTCTAACCTCTCTCAACCCTTTGGGGCCCTTTTCCTGTCCTTTCTATTTATTTCTTTATTTATGTTATCTTGCCCCCACTAGGGGCAGAGGCAGAAGTAATTAAAATTAAAATTAAATTAAATGGGTTATGCCTTCTCTCTGTCACTTTCCTAAATACTACAGTGTTTGTCCCATGATCATTTTCCACTAAAATCAAAGTTGTATCTAATCATGCAAAATCAGTACAGTAGCAACTTAGCAATGTGATTATTAAAAGGTTACAAACATGTACTTTTTATGAATATTAATACAGTGGTTTACAGCTCATTTCTTCTCTGTGTTTTTAGAAGCTGCACTGATGTCTTATGTTGTTTGATCTTCATCATTGTCATCCTCTCATATGTAGCCCTGGGGATAGTGGGTAAGTCTATACACACAGACACACACATCCTTGTTTTTGTCACTCATTAGGCAGAGAGAGACTTTCAGCTGAAGTCAGAAATTTCCATACACCTCAGCCAAATACATCTAATCCCAGTTTTTCACAACTCCTGACATTTAACCTTATAAACATTCCCTGTCTTAGGTCAGTCAGGATCAATGCTTTATTTTAAGAGTGTGAAATGTCAGAATAATAGTAGAGAAAAAGATTTTTTTCAGCCATCACATTCCCAATGGGTCAGAAATTTACATACACTCCCTTAGTATTTGGTAGCATTGCCTTTAACTTGGGTCAAACCTTTCGGGATGCCTTCCACAAGCTTCTTACAACAAGTTGCTTATGTTTCAGCCCATTCCTCCTGACAGAACTGGTGGAACTGCGTCAGGTTTGGAGGCCTCCTTGCTCACACATACTTTTTAAATTCTGCCCACAGATTTTCTATTGGACTGAGCTCAGGGCTTTGCGACGGCCACTCCAGTACTTTTTAGTCCTTAACCAGAATCAGAATGAGAGACTAAGTTACCTCATCCATCCAAAGTTGAGTCCTTACCACACTCATGTGATGGGAATTAACCTCGCTCTACCGACCAGATGGCCCGACCATTATACATATAGAATATACTGTATGGTCAAACCTTTCGGGATGCCTTCCACAAGCTTCTTACAACAAGTTGCTTATGTTTCAGCCCATTCCTCCTGACAGAACTGGTGGAACTGCGTCAGGTTTGGAGGCCTCCTTGCTCACACATACTTTTTAAATTCAGCCCACAGATTTTCTATTGGACTGAGCTCAGGGCTTTGCGACGGCCACTCCAGTACTTTTTAGTCCTTAACCAGAATCAGAATGAGAGACTAAGTTACCTCATCCATCCAAAGTTGAGTCCTTACCACACTCATGTGATGGGAATTAACCTCGCTCTACCGACCAGATGGCCCGACCATTATACATATAGAATATACTGTATGTTTACGGGTTAAAGCCAGAGAAGCTGGGAAATTTGTCTGATTTGCTGTCAAAAAGCACTACCATCTTTTTTATTAAACTGCAAAAATGTCAAAAATTCTGTGTTTTTCTGTCAATATGGGGTGCTGTGTGTACATTAATGAGGAAAAAAATGAACTTAAATGATTTTAGCATACAGAATCAGAATGAGAGACTAAGTTACCTCATCCATCCAAAGTTGAGTCCTTACCACCCTCATGTGATGAGAATTAACCTCTCTCTACCGACCAGATGGCCCGGCCATTATACATATAGAATATACTGTATGTTTACGGGTTAAAGCCAGAGAAGCTGGGAAATTTGTCTGAGTTGCTGTCAAAAAGCACTACCATTGACTTTGCACTTTCAAAATAAAAGTTACAAATTGACAGTTTTTCCTCTCTTGTGGTATATTTTTTGGTTTGGTTTGTTTGGTTTGGTGTATCCCATTTCAATTTTAGGGCTTCCTGTACTCGGCACAGATGTTTCTGTACACTATGCCAGCCACTTGGTTATGGCGTTCCATGTATGCCCTGCCTGCTAGAATCTTGCACCCTGCTGTTATGTGCTGGATTGTCTCAGGGGCATCTCTGCGCATCCTGGTCCTGGGGTCCTGCCTGGCATGGTAGACCCCGGCCTCTATTGATCTTGTACTTGGAGCCTGTTCCTGTGTTGCCAGGATTAGTGCCTCTGTGCTGTCTTTCAGTCCAGCTTTGTCCAGCCACTGGTAGAATTTTTCGATATCAGCCACTTCTTCTATTTGACGGTGGTACATACCGTGCAGAGGTATGTCCTTCCATGAGGGTTCCTGCTCTTCCTTCACTTGTTCTTCTGGTTTCTTCTGCCTGAGGTGTTCGCTAAGCATGTCATCACTCTGGGCCATCTTCCTGATGTATTCATGGATCTTTGTTGTTTCATCCTGGATAGTGGCTCTGATACTCACTAACCCTCGGCCTCCTTCCTTCTGCTTAGCGTAAGTCTCAGGATGTTGGATTTGGGGTGAAACCCACTGTGCATTGTAAGGAGCTTCCTTGTCTTAATGTCAGCGGCCTCTATCTCCTCCTTCGGCCAGCTTATTATGCGAGCGGGGTACCTGATAACTGGCAGTGTGTATGCGTTAATTCCCCAGACAGGATATTGTGTGATAGTTGGATGGTACTGCCCCTTCTGAGGGTCCTTCAGGATCAGGACTGTCTGGCCTTCAGTTAACCACTCAGGGTGGGTTCTGTCCATTAGTAGCTGGTTCATTTGTCCTGTCAGGCGCTCATGGAGTGAAGTCAGCTTCTTTAACCAGTAGGTGTGGATCATGTCAGGGCCTGGTGCTGTCCAGCTCTTCATACTTGAGACCCTCTCTTGGAAGTCTGCCATTGTGATAGCTACTGGATCTTGTTCAGGGAGGGGGCTGTGGTCTGCTCTCAGGTCCACCAGCCACTGGGCATTGTTGGTATGTAATGCTTCCTTCTCCCATATGTTTTTCCAGAATTGTTCAGTCTCCAGCCTTGGTGCTTCTGGTCTCACGTTCTGTTCTTCCCTGCCACTGAGAGTACACCTTGGATGGCTCAGTGGAGAACATTCAGTTTATTCTCCTGGCTTCAACTTCCCTGGCATACCAATTCAACTGGGTGTCCAGGACTGTGAGCCTTTGCTTGGCAGTCTCTAAAGCCTCAGGTACGGACAGTGTGTTGTACTTCTCAGATACCCTTTCTGCAGTTCCAATAGCTGGCTAACTTCTCTCCTTTTTGCCTTGATCTTGGCCTCCAATGTCCTTCTCCATGAAGGATACTGCTCCTTGTTGCCTTTGTTGAACTTATAGCCAAGCATCTCAAGGATCACGTTGCTATGGTGTATATCAGCTTGTTGGTCTCAGTGATGGTCATAGTAGGGATTGTTCATACTGCTGCATTTACATCCTCTAGTAGACTTTCAGAAGGCACTTCACTTAGTCTTGGTAACCGGCCACAGAGCTTCCAGGTGTCCATCTTGGTCATAATCTTCAGTCTCAGGTCAGCTGTTCTTGCATTAAGCTCATCTGGGTTTGTTACTAGGGCTTGGTACACAATCTCCAATTGTGGGGGTACTCTCCCCCCTGACCTGTCGTCCTGGCACCCCCTTTCCATAGCATTTGTGTTGTACCTCATCAATCTCTAGTTCTGATAGGAGGTGCTTCTTGTGAATGTTAGAGCACTGAGCTACTAGTTGTTTTGATGTTAGTCTAGATGTTGGGTTTTGAAGTATCCATAGGTCCCACATCCTCCGTATGTAATGCCTCTCTCTGGAAACTATTGGAATGCTACTACACATTCCAATAGTTCCCTGTTCTCAGCTCTCATCCATGAATGTCTTGTTCCAGTAGCCCACTTGTCATCGAGTTGCCCTGGTTCCTCAACACCTGACACCAACCTTGTGGACCCGGGTGATGTCCAAGCCGGTGTGACTCTTATTTTTACAACTCTCATTACCCATGATGTAGGCAAGGTAGCATTAAGGGCCTTGCCTAAGGGCCCAGGCTGGATATTGATTGTGCCCTGACCGGGGTTCGAACCCCCGACCTATATATATATAAGTTATGATGGGTCTAGAGCAGGGGCCTCAAACTCCCGGCCCGCGGGCCACTTCCAGCCCGCGGACCCCCTATTTCCGGCCCACGACCTGATGTCAAAATAGTAATGTAACTCGGCCCTTGAGGTTATATTTTGTTATTTCGTTTTATCCCCACAATAACCACTTATTGTGAAAATTAAGTATTTGTAATTATTTATAATTTTTTCATAAAAAACACATTTATTTTGAAAATGGTAAATACAGAACAAAAGTTTTTAAGCAAACAGGAAGCGCAGGTCCGGAGCCGTACGGTGTGGCGCTGCTTCCAGAGTACGCGGCAAAAAACAATAAGGAGACAAAACAGAAGTAGCGCGGAAGGTATGTCACTTTCAAAATCAAAAAGAAAAGTCGACAGTGAGCACAGACAGTTTCAAGAAAAGTGGACATTGCAGTATTTTTTTGTTGAGTTAGGTGGACATGCAATCTGCCTCATTTGTAAAGAGAAACTCGACGTTTTTAAGGAATATAATATCAAGCGCCATTATTGGAGTAAACATGGACAACATTATGAGAACTACAATGGAGATGACAGGAGAAAATGAGCCACGCAGCTACAAAGAGGACTAATATTCCAGCAAGGACTTTTACACAAAACCGGGTGCAATAAGATGCAATAAAACGTGAAGTTAAATGCTGTTTTTGTGTCCAGGGTGTGAGGGGTCTGCATAAATCTTCTCTGCCCTCCTTTTGACCCGGTGTACAGGTCCTCCATGGAGGGCAGGCTGGCACTGATGGTTCCTTTTGCAGTCCTGACTGTCCACTGGAGTCTGTTCCTGTCCTGAGCCAAACCAGACAGTGATGGAGGTGCAGAGAACAGACTCAATGATTCCTCTGTAGAACTGTATCAGCAGGTCGAACTTCCTGGGCTGGCGAAAGGAAGTACATCTTCTGCTGTGCCTTCTTGGTGATGGTCCTGATGTTGGACGTCCACTTCAGGTCCTGGGAGATAGTGGGGCCCAGGAACTTGTAGGACTCTACTGCTGATACAGTGCTGCTGAGTATGGTGAGGGGGCTTAAGGTGGGGGGATTCTTCCTGAAGTCCACTGTCATCTCCACAGTTCTGAGCATGCTCAGCTCTAGGTTGTTGCAACTACATCATAGGACCTGCTGCTCAACCTCCCATCTATAGGCTGATTCGTCACTGTCTCGGATGAGACCAATGACCGTTGTGTCATCTGCAAACTTTAGGAGCTTGACAGAGGGGTCCTTCGAGATGCAGTTGTTGGTGGTGTCCCCATTTCTGTAGGCCTTGTCTTTGGCATGACGAAGCTGCCTGAGTCTTTTCTGTAGGCCTCGTCTTTGGCATGACGAAGCTGCCTGAATCTTACTGTGAACCAACTGTAAACCAGGTCTTGTTGTTGTATGTGCAGAAGGTCTTGGTGGGCACACACACATC